TTTTTTTTTGAGACAGTGTCTGTCTTGAAGCCCAGGCTGGAGTGCAATGGCACGATCTCAGTCCACTGCAACCTCCACCTCCTGGACTCATGTAACTCTCCTGCTTCGGCCTCCTGAGTAGCTGGGATTACAGGCACCCACCACCACACCCAACTAATTTTTGTATTTTTAATAGAGATGGGGTTTCACCGTGTTGGACAGGCTGGTCTTGAACTCCTGACCTCAGGTGATCCACCTGCCTCCTCCTCCCACAGTGCTGGGATTACAGATGTGAGCCACTGCGCCTGGCCCCTCCTGATAATATTTAAACTGGAAGTCACCTGTGTTCGTTCATGCTTCCCTTCTCTCTGTATGTTTCCTCACTCCAACTAGATTGAAGGCAGGTACATAATCATATAGGGAGATTGTACCTTCTTTGTTGTGCTTGCCACATAGAAGCCATGCTCAACTGATATTAAACTGTTCATCAGTTTAGAAGGTGAAGTCTAAAAGTGGGAATTGCTTCATAGGCTGTTTTTTGTTGTTGTTGTTGTTGTTGTTTTTTAATGTAACAGATCAGCTAAAGTCCCACCACTTTGTTCATATTGGCCTGCCTAATGATGTTTAATCAACCTACAAAGTTAAATTATGTAATAAATGTTGGAGACAAATTACTTTGGAGTTTCTCAGTTAAATTTGTTTCTTTCTGTTTTTAATATATACTTCGTTTTGGTGATTTCAAAGTATTATTTTCCTTCTCATCTCTCTTTTTTCCTAATCTGATTCTTTTTTTTTTTTTTTTTTTTTTTTTTTTTTTGAGACAGAGTCTTGCTCTGTCACCCAGGCTGGAGTGCAGTGGCATGATCTTGGCTCGCTGCAAGCTCCGCCTCCCAGGTTCACGCCATTCTCCTGCCTCAGCCTCCCGAGTAGCTGGGACTACAGGTGCCCCCTACCTCGCCCAGCTAATTTTTGTCTTTTTATTTTTTAGTAGAGACGGGGTTTCACCTGTTAGCGAGGATAGTCTTGATCTCCTGACCTCATGATCTGCCCGCCTCGGCCTCCCAAAGTGCTGGGATTACAGGTGTGAGCCACCGCACCCGGCCTCTGAACTGATTCTTACATCTCATTTGCTGTAACAGTTCTTGGTGTAAATGAAGTTGTTCTTTTATTATAAGCTTATTTATATCCTTTTATAAACTGTATGACATTAAATGTCAAGTATGTGTATACAAGTAAATATAAGTAAATATCTATGTAATATGTTTGCATATATGCACATATTTGATACATAATGAAGACTAAATACCAGTGTTGAAAGTCTTAACTTCAATGGTATTAAACTGAAGCCAATGTGAAGAATAATATTGCACATTTGTTCAATAATATGATTGGTTTAAACAGTTTGAAAAAGTGACAGAGGAAGTCAGTAGAGGAATAAAACCCAAGTAAACCAAAACACACCCCTGTGCATTGCCACTGGTAAACTGAAAATCAAATTGACAGTTTGCAAATGTGAAACAAAAGTCTTCAGCCTATTGGTAACTACCTTATAATGTGGATCAGAGATCATTATAAGGGGGGGAAAAGACAGATAATGACCTCCATACTAATAGATTTAACCTGGCAAGATGAAATTGCCTAAAGATTAGCAAATTATAGGCAAATATGAAAGCATTTGGAATCCCTTTCTTAGGCATATTGATAGTTGTGTTTTTCTTTCTTTTTAAATTTTGTTTCCCTCTTCTTTATAGTTTTCTGGGAAGGCAATATGACTTGCGTGGGAACCAACATGATCTCATTAGATGTTAAGGAAAATGCTTAAAAATGGCAATAATGAAAAGCATTTCAAACTTTTCTGTTTCCAACTTCCTTTTCTAACTGTTTCACTCTCTCTCCCCAACATACCAGGCATTCCCACTGCCAGAGGCTACTTACTTGTTTTCCATTTTAACATACCTCTCAGCCTTCTACCCATATAACCACCACTACCCATCTTAGTCCATCTGGTTCACACCATTCCCCTGAAGATTTCATTGACTCTTTTAATAGTAACTTGCACATACTTCTGTTAGCACCTTCCTCTCTGAAGTATACTTGATATTACACTTATTTGTATAGTTTACTTCCAGTAGACTCTCAACTCCTTAAGGGAAAAAGGGAACTTGCTCCTTTTTGAAGCCTTCGTTCCTGAAACAGTGCCTAGCATATGGAAAGTGCAGTACACGTTTGAGGAGATCAGGGAGGTAGGGATGTGTTTGTCTTATTTCTGTGCTTTACTTAGGTTACTTACCTTGAGTTTCTGTTTCAAAGCACATTTTCTCTGAAATGAAGCCAAAAATAGTTATAATAATTGTTTGTTAATATCTATGCATATTTATGGAAATAATATAAACTACTGATTCTAAGAAACATTGCCAGCAAATCTACTGACTTTATTTATTAAGCATTTGTGATTATAAATGCATATGTATATTTTAATGGCTGTCATGGAAGCCCATTTATGTAGAAGAATGTTATTTTATTAATTATATCTTCTAGGTATAAAAAAGTACTGAAAAATATGCTGGCCATGTAAAATTTCCAATTTTCCCCTCCTTTTTAAAAGTAGCATTATTTCCCAAGTGCACATGTAGGATAAATTTTTAATTCAGAATGTAGACTAAGCCCTTTGTTCATTTAAAGTAAAAAAACCAAAAAAAACAAAAAAAAACCCTGCAGAATTGTGAATATCCAAAAGTCAGATATTGGATATCAACAGTAACTGCCTTCTCAGTTTTTAAACCACTGTATTCATCTTGATTGATTCAAATTAAGATAGGAGTGGGGATCACCTAGATACTTAAATACTGGATACATTCTAGATACTTACAAAAAAATTTATGGCCAGTGATCTTTATGAAGAATTTCTCCCAGCAACCTCACGTGTCCTGTTTCAGAACTTTGAAAATGCCTATAAGGTGAATGAAGTCTATTTGTGGTGCTTTGCAAATGTTACCTGATGTGGCCTGTGCTAACTCTGCACATATCTTTAGTGCCATCCATTGTAAATTTTCATTCAGCTAAGAACTTTGGGACTTTTTGTTGGCTTAAGAAATACAGTTATTATGCTAGTTAACTTTATTTTAAAGAGAGTTTTGCAGAATTCAGTTCTGTGGCACAGAAACATCTCTTTCGATTTTTCTAGGCCTTGACTCTTAACAAGTTAACAAAACAGAAACAAAACCCCAAATCCTTAATATTAATATTTAGAGTACTCACTTGGGCCAATTTCATTTAGCCATAATGTTATCTTGAAGTGTTTAATATTGGGCCCCAAATTGGCAGGTATTACGTGGCCTTCATAGTATGACTTGCCCAAGAGTTGTTCTAGAGCAAGAGATAAATTGAAGGGTGTGTGTGGATGTGTGTGTGTGTTTGTGTGTGTGAGAGAGAAGAGACAGAGAGGAAGAGAGAGAAAGAGAACATGCGTGTGGGGTTGAGGGGAGACATTTGACAGGGTTGTAGAAGAGATGGAAACAATGCCTGTTGTCTTAGTAGGCTTAAGTTTTATCTTTGAATGTCTTAGGCATTTCTCCTCATTCAGCACTGAACCAATTAGTAGCAGCAGTAAAGAAATTTGTCAGACATAGTGATTACATCAGGACTTATATAGGAAAACAGTAATGAACTCTAGGAAAATAAATAAGGATAAGTTCAAGAAACATAACTGAAACTGCTGCACTGGTATAAATTGAATAATAAAATTTCTAGTCATATTTTGCCGTAAATAGAGGTTTGGGAATTTGTCATTCTCTTTATTTAAAATTCAGAAATAGTAAAGGTACAGAGTTCTCTCATTTCAGAAATAATAGAATTCCAGCCATTACTGAGTTAGGGTCATTTAAATGGCTATAGCATGCATTGTATCAATAAGTGGAACATCTGTATGAAATGTCCACCTGCTGATCTAATACCCCCACTCCATGCACATTTCAGCGTACCACCCTTAATCATTTTAAGATTTCTTCTAATGAAGCCTTATCTAGATTAACATTTTAAGCACAAATACTTTCAGGCATTAAAACTCTCACACTAAATGAAATTGCATTGTCTTGTTTACCCTTGTTGATTAATAAGCAATCTGTTAACTGTTAGAACAGTCCAATTGTGGCAGTAGAAGATTAGTAATTCAGTGATGTTTGTGGATATAATCATCATTTCTCCTGAAGGCTCCGAATTAGAATATCACTTACATACTATCCGCAAAGAAAGGATATAATATTTTTAGACATGTGTACCCACTATTTTGCTTGAATCATTCAGTTTAGGGTCACTGCAGCAATACAAATGCTTCTGGGGGCAAAATGGTATTTTGATGCATGCATGTCCTTCTTAAATTGTGTGAATGTCTATTAAAAGAAACACGGCAACCAACAAATAGTGCAGTAATAATCCAGTATCTTAATTTTCGCTTTCAGAACATTATTGCTCTGTTAATCAAGCTTCGGAAGAGGAATATTTCTTATCTTTTTTTTCAGATAATAGATTTTATATATAAAAATTCTTTGCAATCTTATTTAACTTGTTCTCAGCCAGTAGAAAACTGAACTTTTTGCCTCCAAAGAATGTAGGAGTAAATTTGGAAAAATTCTGTTTCTTTTCAGAGGATTTTTGTATCTTTTGTGTTTCCTTTGACCTTATGTCAAAGCATTTCAATCTGTTTGGCATTCGTCTGACCTAAGTGATTTATTTCATCAGACTGGAAATTGTTAATTACTCAGGTGTCAAGGGGGACCCTACATTTCAGAGGGATAAATCAGTGAAAAAGTGTGGAGGAATGGGATGCAGCTAAATTCTTTAGCATATTGGGCTTCTGTAGAAGGCCTCCATTCTAAAAGAGACATCAGAGCTCTTCTTATTGTCCTATTGTTGGTAGCTGAGTGTATCACTACAATTTGAAATTATGATGGAAGAAGGTGTTTCATGTTTTAGGGAACTTTGCCGTATAAACACTTATAGATTGGTTGCTCTCTATGTTGCAGTCCCTCTGTCGTGAAATCAAGCAACGACGTCGAGGAGTTGCCTCCATTCTGCGACTATGCCAGCATCTTTTGGATGACCGGGAGACTTGCAATCTGAATGCAGACCACCAGCCCATGCAGCTGATCATTGTAAATCTTGAAAGAAGGTGGGAAGCCATTGTCATGCAAGCCGTCCAGTGGCAAACACGTCTACAAAAGAAGATGGGAAAGGAATCTGTGAGTGATTTTTTTTTTTAAGCATCATGGTCTCTCATTTTCTCAGACAAAAAATAATTCTTTCAGGCTTGGAAACTGTGTTCATCTTATAAACGGTTTTACTAACAAAGTGGTTTTGCCCTCTTACAAGTGGTTTTAAGTAACTAAAGCTAGTAGTTTTACTACTAAATAGCTGTCCACTAAATGAAACTCCATTTGTTGTAACACTGACATTTATTTGCCTTGCTAAAATGCTTTTAGTGTATCTCATTGTCTTTTTGAAAAAAATCACATGGAGGTTTTGCTTAACCTTACCAACCTAAGCCATTAATTCTTTCAATCATTCCTTCACTAACAATATTCATTAATCATACAATAACCCATGAATATTTTGCTAGAAAGTAGCTTAGTATTGTCAGAGCATTTGGAGCAATGTGTACGCTCTGCAGATAATACAATGAAATAAAGTATATTGTTTACCTTTCCCTGACATGACATAACATCATCTATTTGTACACTAATCTCCTAGTGTTCCTGCTTAGAGCTTCTTCTGATAGTTTCATTGCTGAGAATTGGCAAGTTTCCTCTTAGAGTTTTAATGCAGTGCTCAAAGTGGTGAGTAGAGATTCCTTTTAAGGATTTTCCAAATTGAGTACGGGTTTAAGCTGTTGCTAGATGAAGGAAATAGATATAACTAGAAGTTGTATCATTGTAATATACAATGCATATTTGTCCAGAGAGCCTTCATATCCTTTAAGAAAGGATTTATCGATAAAAAGATTGCATACTCCAAATGACCTTGAGGTCAGTGTCTATTAGTTGAAGGCCCAACTCCCATGTTTGACTTATATAAATGGAATACATACATACATACATATATACATAGAATGGGAAGTTTTCCTTATATGTTTATATTTTTCAGTTCTGTAACTTTGGAATGTTCAGGATCCAAAATTGAAAAATCAAATGTAAAAATCATGCTGCTGAAAAATTCTTTCCTCCTATGAATTCTGATTTTAACGAAGCCTTAATATCTGCTCTCTGATGTGTTTGGCACTTGGGACTGGGAACAGAAGGGACAATGAATCAGCAAGCCATCTAATTATTTTTGTATCTGTAGATATATTGAGTCTAGGGGGTGATTTTATCCTCAATAGTTCTGTTTAATTGTTTTAAGCTGAACTGTTAAATTTCTTAAGACTTCCAAGTTATTACTAGTAATCAGAGTCAACATAATTAGATGTCTTTTCTTGAAATGACCTGTTTATTGTAAAGCTATTTAGCTGGCATGTTTTTTGTTTGTTTTGAGAGTGTTTGGAGGGGCAGATGAGATTATTGTTATTACTTTCTATACTTTTAAGCCTGTAATAGTGGTAGTGGCCATAAGATATATGCAAAAATCAACTGCAGCAGGAAAAGTTGTGAAATTTTGGAAGCATTCAGGAGTCATGCTTTGGAGGAGTCAAAGTTGCGTTTCTTTGAGGATTTATTTGAAATCATATGATCAGGGGTTCTAGAGCAGTTCTCTGCAGACTACATGTAGACATTTTTATCCTATTTCTTTTTTTTTTTTTTTTTTTTTAAGGATGGGATCTTGCTCTATTTCCCAGACTGGGGTACACTGGCCTGATCATAGCTCACTGCAACCTCAAACTCCTGGGCTCAAGTATCCCCCCACCTCAGCCTCTCAAGTAGCTAGGACTACAGGCATGTGCCACCATACCTGCCTAATTTTTATTTTACTTTTTGTAGAGACATGGTCTCACTATGTTGCCCAGGCTGGTCTCAAATTCTTGGCGATCCTCCCACCTTGGCCTCCCAATGTGCTGGGATTGCAGGTGTAAGTCACTGCACTCAGCCTTTTATCCTACTTCTATGGTAAAGGCTAGCTTTAGCTTTGAGGAAACCCTGGCTGCTTCTTAAAGGTTCAAACTACTACATACAGGCAGATTCAAATTGCAAACAGAGAAAGGTGTTTCCTTTTGTTTACGTTGACTGCTGAATGTGTAGACTGGAAAAATGAAGGTAGCAAATAAGGTCCTTTCTGCTGAAAAAAAGTTGAAAATCACTGTTGGAAAAGGAATGAAGAGAGTGAACTAATGCCAGCAAATACTGTAAGCACAGGATACATCATTCAGTGGGAGATATTTCTCTGCTTCTTTTCTCTGTTGGTTGAGTGAAGAGTCCAAGTTGCTTTGAAGTTGCCAATGTGGGAGGCTGCCTTTGCAGATAATCAGAAACCTCTAAGTTGGCTCTTCAGTTATCATACGTCCCCATTCCCATTTCATCCTTGCTTGTGCATTGGGACTTTCACTTCTTGATATGGTTTGTCTGTGTCTCCAACCAAATCTCATCTTGAATTGTAGCTCCCATAATTCCCAGGTGTTATGGGAGGGACCCAGTGGGAGATAATTGAATCATGGAGGTGGTTTCCCCCATACTGTTTTGTGATAGTGAATAAGTCTCATGAAATCTGATGGTTCTATAAGGGGAAACCCCTTTCACTTGGTTGTCATTCTCTCTTGTCTGCTGCCATGTAAGATGTGCCTTTTGCCTTCCACCATGATTGAGGCCTCCCCAGCCACATGGAATTGTGAGTTCATTAAACCTCTTTTTCTCTATAAATTACTCAGTCTTGGATATGTCTTTATCAGCAGTGTGAAAACAGACTAATACACTGCTGTATTCCCCCAGGGCCTGGGAAATACTTGGACATAGTAGGTCTACAAATAAGTATTTGCTGAATGAATGAGTACATGTGTTCATTTAATAAATTTTGTTTCATTCTGGCATTTGATTTGGAGTTACTGTATATTCTAAATTTTTACATTTTTTCACAAAGTAGCTGAGTGTTATGTTTCTATAAGAACACCAAGAAGATGATCTTTAATCTGTCTTGTTTAATAAGGCTTCCCCAGACTCCCAGACCTGTTTCCTAAACTCAAGGAGACTGTCAGTCTCTGAGTGGAGTCTAAGGAGGCTAAAGTGGCTAACATTGCTACAGGGCAGAATGCCAGAGAGGAAAGGACTACACAGACTAGGCACACCGGAGATACACAGAGGGATGTTCTCAAGTACTCAGCAGAAGGAACCACCTAAAAGGATTAGAGGGAACAGTCCCTGGAGCTTGCACAGAGCTAGAAATGGTTCCTTTTCCCTCACTCGTAGTAGAAACCCTCATCATTCACAAGGCATGTGATAGGATACCAAGAAAGGTTTTTGCCTTAGTAATGGGGCAAACTTAGACTAAGTGCTGCTGTGGTCTTACCCAAAAAAACTTAAAAGCAAGACCTGAAAGGACCAAACTGTTTCAAAGTAATTTTACTATACTCCCAGGACAAAGCTCAAGAATATTTATAGGAATACAAATACCCAGCATACAACAAGATAAAATTTATAAAATTTGTAGTGTCTGACATCCAGTCTAAACCTACCAGGAATGGAAAGAAGCAGGAATAGTCAGCTGATGAGGAGAAGAATATTAATCAATATAAACTGATCCAGAAATGTCACAGAGTATAGAATTGGTAGACAAAAACATTAAAAGTTATTATACCCACATTCCATATGTTCAAGCTGCTGGAAAATATACTGATCATATTAAGTAGAGACATTAAAAAAATCTCTACCTGAAATCACATTATAAAGAGGAAAGCTATCATTACTGAGATGAAAAATACACTGGATGAGATTAACAGCCAATTAGACATCACAGAAGAAATAATTTGTAAACCTGAAAACATAGCAATAAAAATTGTGCAAAATGAAGCAGAAAGAAAAAAAGACAAAACAAAATAAAAACAGAGCATCAGTGATTTCTGAGGTATCTTCAAGCAGCCTAATTGAAGATTAGAATTAGAATCCCATAATAAAAGGAAGGTGGAAGCTGGGTGCTGTTGCTCACATATGTAATTCCAGCACTTTGGTAGGCTGAAGTGGGAGGACTCCTTGAGGCCAGGAGTTCAATGACAACCTGGGCAACATAGCGAGACCACGTTTCTACAAAACGATACAAAAAGTAGGCAGGCATGAAGACACATGCTTGCAGTCCCAGCTACTTGGGAAGCTGAGGCAGGAGGATCACTTGAGCCTGAGAGGTTGTGGCTGCAGTGAGCTGTGTTTGTGCCAGTGCACTCCAGCCTGGATGACAGAGTCAGACCCTGTCTCAGAAAAATAAAAATAGAAAGATAGTGGAACAAAATAACCTAGAATTATATATACAGAGAAAATATCATTCAAAAAGGAAGATAAAATAGTTTTCATTCATTAAAACCTGAAAATATTCATTACCCATGGACCTGTACCACAAGAAATGTGAAAGAGAGTCCTTCAACCAAATGGAAAATTCTATCAGATGGAAACCTGGAGAGGCACAAGGGAATGAAGAAGACTGAGAGTAACTGTGTGGGTTACTGTGAAATATTTTTTGTATTATTTAAATCTCTAAGTGGTAATAGGCTGCTTAAATCAAGTTAATAACAGCTTATTGTCTATGTATAACATATGTAGAAGTCAAATGTATGACAACAATATCACAATGGCCAGGAAGCAAGAAATGGAACTATGTGGTTTTTATTCTATGGGAGGTAGTATAATATCATTTAAAGTTTTTTTTTGAAAAGGGGATTAAAGAAAAAAATAGACGTGTGATAAGATAAAATATATGCTTTTGGGTTTTTGTTTGTTTGTATTTTTAGATATGGGGTCTTACTCTGTTTCTCAGGCTGCAGTGCAGTGGCACAATCATGGCTCACTGTAGCCTTGACCTCCTGGGCTCAAGCAGGTCTCCTGCCTGAGCCTCCAAGTAGCTGAGAATACAGGAGCATGCCAGTATACCCAGCTAATTTTTCTTTTTCTGTAGAGATGGGATCTCACTATGTTGCCCAGGCTGGTCTCAAACTCCTAGCCTCAAGCAGTCCTCCCACCTTGGCCTCCCAAAGTGCTGAGATTATAGGCATGAGTCATCATGCCTAGCTTATAACTCTTTAAAAACATAACAAAAAGCTATAATTAATAGGCCA